CGTTAATCTGGTACAGATGCAGCTCAGCGATGGGGGAGGCTGTATACGTGGTTATGCTGTCATACTATTAAATGTTTGATTAAATAAGAAGACAAAAGCTTGTTTGGAGTTAAATGTTTGATTTTTGTGAAATAACTTGTATGATTTCTAACCAATTAATGGTAATTTCTCAACTTCACTTAATACAGTCATATAAAAAAATTTGTGCAGCCCCATTAATCTTAATTATTTTAATTTCTAAATATTTGGGTGTTTGTTACAGCTATTTCAGTTTGATATATCTAATAAGGCAGTAATATTTCAGCATTTAATTGAGATTTACTGGAACAACAGAAAAATAATAAATAAATAAAAAAAGATTGTTAGGTGCAAAAATATGAGCAACTCAGCAAAAAAAAAAAGAGACATTAATATTTGTAGATCCAGCAGCCCCTAGTCGCTTCCTGCAGCTATTATTGAGTTCCTGGATCCTGGATGAAAGGATTTTTTGATCATTCTTCTTTGCAAAACAATTGCAGTTCAGTTACTTTGAAGGTCACCCAGCGTGGACAGCCTCCTTCAAATCATCCCACAGATGTTCAATGATATTCAGGTCTGAGGATTGGGATGGCCATTCCAGAACAATGGAATTGTTCCTCTGCATGAATACCTGAGTAGATTTGGAGCAGTGTTTCGGATCATTGTCATGCTGAAAAATCCATCCCTGGCATAACTTCAACTTCATAACTGATTCTTGAACATTATTCTCAACATTCTGCTGATATTGAGTGGAATACATGCGACCCTCAACTTTAACAAGATTCCCAGTGCCAGCAGAATGGCAACGCAGCCCCAAAGCATGATGAAACCTCCACCAAATTTTACAGTGGCTAGCAAGTGTTTTTCTTGGAACCCTGCGTGTTTTTTGTTTTTTTTGCTGCCATGCATAACGCCTTTTTTTTTATGACCAAACAATCTTTGTTTCATCCGTCCACAGGACCTCATTACAAAATGAAGCTGACTTGTCCAAATGTGCTTTTGCATAAAGCGATTCGGTTTGTGGCGTGCTTGCAGAAAAGGCTTCTGTGGCATCACTCTGCCATACAGCTTCTCCTGGTGCAAAGTGCGCTGAATTGTTGAACAATGCAAAGTGACACCGTCTGCAGCAAGATGATGCTGCAGGTCTTTAGAGGTGGTCTGTGGGTTGTCTTTGACCATTCTCACCATTCTTCCTCTCTGCCTCTGACACTGACTGTTTAAATCTTTAAGAAAACATTTTGTATCCTTCCCCTGAATGACTATGTTGAACAATCTTTGTTTTTAGATCATTTGAGAGTTGTTTTAAGGTGCCCATGATGAATCTTCAGAGGAGATCCAAACAGGAACAACTTGCAACTGGCCACCTTAAATACATTTTCTCATGATTGGATACACCTGGCTCTAAAGTTCAAATCTTAAGTTACCAAACCAATTTTGTGTTTGAGTAAGTCAGTGAAAAGTAGTTAAGTGTAATCAAATCAATTAAATGATTAGGGTACCCAACTTTTGTTTTAATGCATATAGCACATTTTCTATTAGTCCAATAAACCTCAATTCAATACTGAAATATTACTGTGTCCATCAGTTATTAGATATATGAAACTGAAATAGCTATTGCAAACACCAAAATATTTAAAAGAAATAATAATAATAATCAAGATTAATAGGGGTGCCAAATTTTTTCATATGCCTGTACATGTCTTTCTTAATTTGACACCGAGTAAAATTGTTTGGCATTTAATGTTGTGTTGTAATTTTTCAACCTAATATATGTTGATTTATTAGTAACAGCGATAAAACTGATTGTAATTGGGGCTGGGAATTCAATTAAATGGAACGAAAGGGGGGAAATTGAAAGCAAAGCTAGTTTTTGAAAGTAGTTTATGTCACTTGCTATTTTATAAAACTTAAGTGAAAGAAAAAAAGATTAATTGGATTTTGTTGAAAAGAAATCAGAGATAAAAAATTTTTAAGCCAAATTTCCTGAACCTATTTGTAATTAAAACATATTTCCCATGATCTTCTTGGTGATGCTCTCACCTTTCTACATCAATTATATTATCTTTGTAAAAGTTTGAGCATAAAAGACAGCAAAGGTCAATCCTTCATAATCTGAATCCAAAAGAAATTGGCCCTTACAGTACTATGACGTCAAACATGGCATGATACAACAATCGTAAGATAAAAAACTATGGATATTTTTTATTCTTGGCCTAACATCTCAGCTCTTTAACCTTAAAATATATTGAGAAATACAAGGCTGTGCCTGAATCTAAATATGTGTTATTGCTATTTTTAAAGCAAACAATTCAATGTTTGACCATCCATTCATAGCTAGCCGAGAGAATTCATGACTGAAACCAAAACAGCCAGTCATTTAACGAGACTTTCCACATGGCTGTCAGGGATCTCAAGGCGAGATGTCCTGGGGGATCCTGATCAATACTCACTTCCCCAGACTATTTCTAAGGTTAAACACATCCACACTATGGCATATTTTAGCTGTTTTTAATCGATGTGCATCACCCTTTTATCATTTTACAAATATTAGAAGTGTGCAGACGAGTGATAAACTATTGTTTTCCAACTGAGCGAATCAGCTCCCTGTCATTGAGCGTCCTAAAGTTTAATGTTCTGGCCATTTAAAAACTCCAAATCAAATAGATTTTAGCTCATAGGTCACAATAAAACAAACTTTAAAATGAAAGCCATTATATCACCCGAGGCCCCTGTCCACCTAATTCTCTATTTTCTCTGGCAGAACTCTAAAATATCCTCATTGCTGTGGAAGCACATGTGTTATAAATAATTCTATGTTCTTCCAATCAATTCAATTAGACTTAATTAATATTACTCAGAAAAGGAAGTTAGAGGTTGCTGTAAATTATGGTTAGCCTTCTAACGAGTTGTTATAAGTGCTGATAGCTGTAGGTAGGAAGGGTCTTCTGTAGAATCTGTTTTATATTTTATTAGATTTTCCTTTATGCTTTATTATTTTGATGTCCTCAAAAACCTTTGGATTACTATGTATATTAATTATTCTGTATAAATAAACACGCAAAGATTGATACAACAAACCAACTGCTTGTTTTTGGTTGGCTCAACCGTGTTTTTAAAAGTCACATTGACCTTTAGGAAACAAAACACATGTGAAGACCTAATTGAATATTATTACTATTGGTATTCTTGACTAGTGATATTAAACACTACTAAGATTGCACAGGAATCGCGTTGTTATTTTGAAAGTTATACCACTTAAAATCAGTCCTTAAAAACAACCCAGTAACATACATAAATACATAGTAAAATATTCAATTGTACTATATATATATATATATATATATATATATATTTATTTATATAAAGAGAGAAAACAAAAGCTTTTGAAAACAAGTAATCGGTAAACGGAGTAATCATAAATAACATTTAAATTTCAAACTCAAATCTCAAACCCTTCATTATTTTAATTAGATCACATATATACAAAAGCCATTAAGTTTAGCATTTGGTGAGGTTTTAGTTAGCTTTGGTTAGCTCAATGACTCAGCGTGACGTTTAAAATCAATGGACAAGCTAACGTGAGCTAAGCTATCGGCTAACATTTTACCTTTTGTTGTAGAAATCCTCCAAAGCGTGCCACTCCGCCGCCATTTCTGGCGTGGAGCTGCTACTCTGCTGCTGTTTGAGGTAACCGCTAACATCTTTCATCGTAAAAAACTAAGAAAATGTAATTTCTTAAGCCAGAAGGGTGGTAAGAGCTGTTTAAGTTATCAGCTAATGTCAAGAAGCCTGCCGTGTTCACAGTCTACGTCTGCGCAGCGATCCGCAAAGGTGTCTGGGAAGTGAAGGCACAAGAAGTCTACTTCTTCTTTTCTTTTAGGGCGGATCGCAAGCAACCTTAAGGTGCATATCGCCACCTACTGTACATGAGTGTGTAGCAACATTACTTTACATACATTCATCTATTTTTTAATTTTGTATTCTGTAGATAAATAAATAATGCTTTCCTTAATCTGTGAATATCCTTTATATTTCCTTAATTTCCCAATATTCCTTTAAGACTCAACTCTTTGCCTGTCCTTCTAACCATCCTTCTCAATTTATCCATTTCACGTTCATACGTTTTACAGTTCATCAATGTTCTACATTTTCTGTAATTGTTATTGTTCCCTCTAACGCCCTTTTTGCTAATATATCTGCATTGCCTTTTACACCTTCATGTGCTGGAACCCAACATAACCAAGAAGTGAAGGCATTGTTTTTCTTATTTTGTTAAATAAAGTTTTTTTTTTTTAAATATCCAATAATGTATGACTAGTTCTGTGTAAAATATCATTAATTGCACTCCATAGTGCAAAGTTTGAGGTGTAAAAAACTAAAATTAAATGGAGATTTAAGGCTGTATATGCAAATGAAAACTAAAATGGATATGCATCTGTTTAGTAATATTTACAGGATAAGAACGAACATAAAAGTAACTGAGAAACACATTTTTTATATGCCAAACATGCAGTATATTCATGCATACAAAAACACCAAAATAGCTTCTCAATAAAGAGGTTATTTCATTTAGGGCTATAATGGGGTTTTTGATTTAATTTACATCAAGGTTTTCCAACTCCTTGTCTTGAGTCGTTTATATAAGTTTTTTTGTGTGTGTGTAACAACAAGCGTTATCAAGTGCGGCAGAACCTGAGGAGTAACCAAATCATGCATTCTTTTTATACATCTCAAATTATTTATTTAGATATTTATTTAGAAAGACATATATAACATAATGAAATGCCCTAAAATGAGTAAAAAATAAATCAAACTTGTTTAGTGTAGTGTAGTGTAGAAGTACGTTTAATCATTGCCACAATTTGGTAATAATTGTCATTGAGGACTCCAATAAATTATTTGACCACTTATTTCCCCTTTTAAACTGCTATTTCCGAGGTGCCTTAAACGCATCGTTACGTCTGCGGTTCTGTCTTCGTGAATATGCGTACCGTACTTGTTCGTCATAAAAAGGGCAATAACTTATGTTTTAGAGGGATATAACAGCTGCTAGCAGCTCGGCGTGGTTTAGTAGTGTCTTAATCTTAATAAACCAACAGAAAGGGTTCCGTACAGAACCTGTAGGATGGCTGGTTTGTCTTTAACTGTCAGGCTGTGTTGTTTGCACAGTAGGCTGAATTCAGGAGCAGCCAGGAAGATCTGTGCAAAAGGTTAGTGAACTCATTTAGACGCACATAATGATTAAGAATAAAAATGTTTGAGATAATGCCCTTTTTTCTTTTCAGGTGTCCGTCCCAGTAGCTCATATCCGGCTGGCATCTCAGCGGCTTCCTTCAGGTAGCGCCTCACCTGTTCAGGTGACATGTTTTTATAATCACACCAGGAGCTGGTTAGCAGGGGCGGAGCTAGAAGGGAGAGCCAATCACTGACCTCTAATACAGATGGTAGCAGTAGTAATACTGTCAAGTGGAATATTCATTTTAATTGTTCATATTTTACTTAGTATTTTTTCATGTATTCGTAATTTTTTGACAACAATAACACTGTGGTTAATTATACACACCAATATACTAACATTAAAGATGATAAGTACAGAATTCCTGCTCTTTTCAGAACTGGATTTTGTGTTATATGGGGTAAAGAGAAAATAATATGTCTCTGCAATTCATCTAGGAGTCTTCAGTGAAATCATAGATAAATAACAATTTTAATAAAAATGTATAAAAAAATAAATTCATGTAGATGTTTGTAATTGTAAATATAAATTTAATGCAGAATGATTATCGATAAAAGTAGGTAAATAATGACAATGGAAAAGATGTTCGCCCCAGAACTCAAACCTGAAATAACTTTATCCACTATACCTTTTATCTAGACGGATGTTTAAATATATGCGTTTATTTGTCAGCAAAGGCTGTAGGAATGTATAGTTATTCTCATATTAGGCTTGACCCTGAGGCGCCTATCCACCTACGACCACCCCTCAGTGTACACCAGTTATTGCCTGGCCACCCAAAATTTTCTGGCAAAGCCTCTGGTGGTTAGGGTTCAAATCCCACTCACCGTTCCCCAGGCGTCGCACAATGGCAGCCCACTGCTCCCTAAGGGGATGGGTTAAATGCAGAGAGTTCATTTCGTTGCTCTGTACTTGTGAGTGTAATGAGAATAAAAAGATGAAATAAGAAAAAAAGCTGCGTCTCTTTCCTCTGATGCTTATTTGCTTATAGCAGAACACTTTTCATAAAAGTATTCCAAGTCTGTATTCTTATTGAATGAATCCCTGCAGAAATTCAGTAGAGTAAGGATAAAGTTAAATTGGAGTTTAAACTTAAGCTGTCAGGTGGATGGACTACCTTTTAGCCTAGGATACCTTTTTAATGGGAATTCGCTTTGAACTCCAGGTCTTGCAACAAAAGCTCAAACAACTTTTTGCTGATTTCTACTAATGCTGGTCGTCTACTCACAAAGTCTTCCACCTGTAGAAGGATCTGTCTTCCTGCAGAATTATTGACTGCAAACCATTTGATAATCACGTTATATCAGGGACATTGTACTGGTCTTTATTTGTATTTATAGTGAGGTTTATAGCGATACAGATGTTTGCTTCTTCTCAGGGAGCCTCTGTTCCTCCAGAGGGTCATAAGCAGAGGCCTTTTCTCCAGCGGTGGAGGTGAATCTGTACAGAAGCAGACTCTGCAGGATGTCGCCAAAAACATCCGAGAGCGACAGTACAGACGGGTTGTGGTGATGGCTGGAGCTGGGATCAGCACGCCCAGTGGCATCCCAGATTTTAGGTACAGAAGCATGTCTGTGATTGGTTGGCTGATCATAAGGCTTCAGTATTTAGTGTTTTCTTGCCCTGCAGGTCTCCAGGCAGCGGTTTCTATGATAACCTCCAGCAGTATGACCTCCCATACGCTGAGGCGATCTTCGAGATTGAATTCTTCCATCGAAACCCAAATCCTTTCTTCGCCCTGGCCAAGGAGCTGTATCCTGGTAACTACCAGCCAAACCTGACGCACTACTTTGTTAGTCTGCTTCACAAGAAGGGGCAGTTGCTTCGGATGTACACACAGAACATCGACGGGCTGGAGAGACGTAGGTGCTCGCACCCTTTGTCGGCAGTCCTGGGCCCTCATGGGTATCAGTGTGTATTAAATTATTTTTTGTTTGTGGATCAAGTGGCAGGAGTTCCTCCGGAGATGCTGGTGGAGGCCCACGGAACGTTTGCAACGGCCACATGTACATCATGTTTACGGAAATATGACGGCGAGGATCTACGAGTGAGCACCAGACTCTCAACTCTCAACCTGCTTGAGCATTTCCAACTTTAGAACATAAAAGGCTTTCAGGAATTTAGAAATCAGATGCATAATTTTAAATCTATTCACAATGGGAATGCAAAACCTTCACATTACATTAAGGCTTTTAATGATTTATTTGGACATTCTTTATCCAGAGTGGAATAATTATACTGCATAAAAGATTGGAAAGCAAAATTCAGGACACCATTTTGATTATATTGTGTTTTTTTGTTTTTTTTTACTTGAATAATTTACAAATCTTTGCTGCATTGAATCCACTTCAAGTCCCCTTCAAGTACTAGAAGTTTCGTGTCCTACTCTTTTAAAATATAAGTATGATTAAAAATCAGTGCCTCTGCAATTTGAAAATTATGTTATGTTAAATTGCGATTATATTGCAAATGTAATTAATTGCCCAGCCCTAGTAGATTTAGATGTTATTCATATACATGTTTTTCTAAGGTCCACATTTGTGTGACAATTTTTTTCTATAATGTTTTTGCTGCTGTAAACGCCAAAATTTCCCCATTGCGGGACAATAAGGGATTTCCTTATCTATTTACTCAAGTTGGAAACCCTTTTGCTGCCATATGCAGAGCATGTGGTAATACAACTATGCTTCATTGTCTTAACTTTGCTTAGGTTGAAAATTTTGGTTAAGATGCTGAGCAACAACAACTCGGAACATTTTAACTACTGTTAAACATGGTGGAAGCCCTATCATGATGTGGGCTGTTTTCAATTCTAGTGGCCCTGATGCAGTGCATATGGAAAATGGAGAAATGAAAGACTGCTTCTCTGTTCTTCAACTTTAATTCTAAAGAACAGCTAGGTGGTTTGGTGTTCTAAAAGAACAATAATCCTGACAAACACATTAGAACAGGTTGTGGAATGGCCTTTCAACAACTCTAACTTGACTCCTGGTAAAAATGAGTGAACAGAACCTTAAAGCAGGTACTGGTTCTGGAAATGTTCTACTCACAGTTTTTAAAGTGAGAAAAAAACCTTTAGCACTGACATTCTTCTCTGTTTTGGGTCGTTAATATCAACTCAGTTTTACTCATGAGACCAATACGATATAACCACATCACCAGAACCCAAAGATGAATGTTTAGTTAGAACACTGAAGTTTTTAGTGGAACCAGCATGTAATGTTTCTGGTCTTGTCAGCCAGAGGTGATGAGCGGGAAGGTCCCTCAGTGTCCCACCTGTAAGGGCGTTGTGAAGCCGGACATTGTGTTCTTTGGGGAGGAGCTACCACGCCATTTCTTCAAGTACCTGGCAGACTTCCCACTGGCTGACCTGCTGATCATCATGGGAACATCACTGGAGGTGAGCAGATTTTGCAGGGTCACCTGTTGGTCTCAATGGGCAGAATCATCTGACTAATCATCAACTTTGTAAAATTCATTCCTGGTTGTTGTTTCTAAGCTGACAAATCTTCAGATCAAAGCCGTCCTGATCCAAATTCTCTGCTCTGCAGGTGGAGCCGTTTGCAAGCCTGGCAGGAGCCGTGCGCAGCTCCGTACCTCGCCTGCTCATCAACAGAGACTTGGTCGGACCTTTTGTATGGGGCCAACGGACCAATGATGTTGTGCAACTGGGAGACGTGGTTGGTGGCATAAAGACCCTTGTTGACGCTCTAGGGTGGACTCCAGAGTTAGAAGCTCTGATGGCAGCAGGCAATCAAAAAGTTTGTCCATGAATCCTTTGAGTTTTTGTTGCTGGATGGATTTTGCTTATATTAAGAAGCGCATATTTTGTGTGCATGGTTTGTATGTCCCCGTTTTGCTCTGCACCAGACTGAAGACCTATCTAGGGTGAACCCCGCCTCTTGCCCATAGATCACTGCTACCCTGATAGAATAAGCGAGATAAGATGGATGGATGGGCTGACCATGAGTAATCCTTTTTTTAGCTCAACTGAGTTAATTAAATAAATGTGGAGAAAGTGGTGCAGGGAAAATATATAAAGCTTTACATAGGGGAGAAAAACAGCGATGCATCTTGAGGGGCACATTTAATTCATTCATGGAAAATCAAAGATAGATAGGTAAGTGTTTAATGTTTTGTCTATTGATTTTTATTTCTGATTGAATAAACATAATTTCATCATGAAAATCTCAAATCTTCATTAATCAGAATTTTGGAGGATATCTTTATTCTCCAAAAGGAAATTAACCAAGTTACACGTTCTGTGACCAGCAGAGGGAGCCAGAGTGCAGCTCAAGTTGGACTCATGCTGGATTCCTCATAAAAATGAAAATGTAATGTTTTCTAACTAGAAGGGCATAAGATGATGATCATATGAGGCATGCAATAAAACTTTCAGAATTGGTTGAATAAGAGCAGCTCTGATACCTGCTGGAAAAACTGCAGGTCTGTCCTCTTTAGCAGTTTTAGGACCTCAAAATGTCAAACAGAAAAATACATATGTTTAAAAGTTATTGGTATCTGCAAACACTGAGCATTACTTTCATTATTTTCCATTATATGCAGAAAGATATTGTGGAATTTTGCTCTGTTTGGGTCCCTGTAATGTTGGAAGAGCAGTTAAATCTGTCCTCTTATCTTTTAGCAAGTCCGTTTAACTTTACGATGTGTGATGCAGGTTCGTAGTAAATAAATCTTCATCTCTGAGGTGGGTATTTATAGCTATTCAGTTCTGTAAAGTGAATGGTAATATAGATTATGTTGAAGTATTTCTGCTCTGCTCACATAAACTGTGTCCTCATCCTTGGTTACTAAGGGCTAAGGTAATAAAAACTCCAAGTTTATATGTCTTAAGGGCGTGTATGTTGGAGTTGAGAGGATCAACACATATCCATATATATTTTGTGAAAGAAGTTTGGTTCTGGACTGAACAAGGGAAAGAAACAGAGATGTTGAAAGAAAAGCCCTGATGATCGCATGGAACTCTGGAAAAAAACATTTCTTGGAAAAACAAGAAGACTAGACTCCAGACTAATGTCTTGTAGAGTTTGGTGATTAGAATAAAAAAAAATAGAATAAAACTAACTTGTATTGTCCCTGGGTTGACCTCCTACAAGTGTGAATGTCTTATTCATAAAAATATCATTGTTTTGGATATTTATTGTATATGATAATATTAAAGATACGTGTTTAATTATATACTTATTATATACTTTACTGCCTACTACCGTATTTTCCGAACTATTAGCAGCTACTTTTTTTTCATGCTTTTTTTTTCACCATGTGGCTTCAGGCCCATTGCAACAAGGTAATCAAACCAAGCAATTGCCTAGGGGTCCGAGCTGGCCGGGAGCCCCCAGACAATGCCTGACCTGGTGATAAACTGCATATATTGACTAATGGTATTAGTGCCAATGTTCACTCAAAGCTTCTTCTACTTATCTAAACCATCCATATATACATACATACATGGAAACCTAAGTGACAGCATCATGTTTTTTGCTTTGGCAGCAGAGAGGAGGAGGTTGCATCTTGTTTTATAAAACATGGAGTTTCAGGAGGAATGGATGTCATGCATTTGTGGTTGGAGATGACTGAGGATTACTGCCTTTTTGGAAGCTGTTGTCTTGCAAAGGTATGTTCCAGGAACACACTGACTGTCTTTTAAACATTTTTTTAAAGAATATTCAGGCTGGATAGAAATGTAAACATGAAGCCACACAATGATACCAGAAACAGGAAAATATGCAAAAGTGAGAGTCCAGAAGAATGTGACACATTGAAATGAAAAATAATTAAAAACCACGTGGCATTTTTATAATGATAGATTTTTAAATTTGTAAATGTAGCTGAATATAATGTAGGGAGCATATTTAGGAGTTTCAAGATGCAGAAGCTGGTTTGGTTCCTGTCTGACGTTTTCAAGTTTCTCATTTCATTGTTGTGTTGATTAAAGCATTTAAAGAGAAAAATGCGATCAATCAAATCTTCCACCTGATGAACCACCCATCTACTAATTTATTTCTGTTTAAGGTTCAAATGAACCAGCATTAACACAACTGAGAAAGCTCTGGTTTCCATTTTTTCACTGCCATGGTGACGGGTCCATTACCAGAAGTATTACAAAGAAACAAAAGACTCCTCACCTGTTTTAGCCTTCATTGTAAAACGACTAGCATTCAGTAGTGCAGCCGTTACATAATTTCATTCAACTTGAAATGGTGGGAAGAAAGGCTGAAATACAGAGAAAATGGAGCCACTACTCTTCTGCAGGCCTCAGAACACACATGGTATTTCATTTTTCTTGTTCAAAGAAGTTTATACAAAATCATCTACAAGTTTTCTTAATTCTACAAATGTTTATATATTTTTTTATTTCTAGTCTCCACCCTCTGCCTCTTTAGAGACCCTAAAACTAAAAGAGTGCTCCTGGTACTTGACCATACAGTATTTCAAAGCCTTCAGCCTTCCTAACTGATGGCTCGCTCTGCTGCATATTTTGTACACATATCACAGAAACACGAGAGCCCTACTGATGGACCTGTTAACAAGGCAGGCTGGAGGTAGGACAGCTTAGTTAGAGCTGCCCTGAAATATTTATATGAAAGCCGCAAGATAGAGAAGAAGGGTGGGATGATATTAATTACTGAGAGGTAGTGTGTGAGTGAAGAAAGTTATTTTTTTTGTTGTAAAACAGGGTGTAACCTGACTGGTTAATGAAGAATACTGACTCTGAATAGCTGGCAGACAGAGGCATCAGGAAAGCCAAGGAAAAAGAGGATGAAAAACTAACCAAATTGATCACTGCTCCTTCACTGGATTGTAACCAGATAAGTAGCAGCAAGGTATTGAAAACTTAACTAGTTACCATCAGAGCATCATTTCAGTGCTGCAGTGCATACCGGTATGTGTTTACATGGTGCTAAGGAGGAAACATCTTAGCAGTAACCCTATAGGAGCTATAGATTGTACATCTTCGGGACATTGCAAATGACAGGTGTATTAGAGGAATAATAGCCTATTTGTCTGTTGCTCTAAATCTGCCATCTGAAGTTGCAATGTGTGACAGATCCACAGAGGATGTCTTATTATCAAAGATAACGTGTGATCAAAAAGTGTCATATATTACACCCAATAGAATGAACCATAGAGGTAACCATTTCAGACAGTATAGACACTAACACTAACGTACCTGATAACGACATACCTCTAACTCAAACTGCTCTCCTAGTTTGGCCTCTTTTCCCAGCCATAACCACATCCACATTCTCCCTATTTTCTACATAAACGCCATAACCATAAGGTCTGTGTTTTTATGTCATTTTTTGTGGTTTTCTCTGGCAGCACTGATGGGGTCACACTGATCAGGCTGCTTGCTGTTGTACCTTAGCGCTGATTCAGCAGTAAATAGTTGTTCAATTTGCACAATTTCTGATTTATTAGATGTAAGAAGTAAAGTGTGTCATGAAATAGTCTCAGCCTTAGCTCTAGAGTTGCATAATGTGAAAGAGTCATTAGAGGAACAATCTTCTGCCCATTTTTCTAAAATCCCAAAGTACTCTGTCTTATCAAGGGTTGTTTTTTTTAAGAAGCTGATTTGTGTAGTTCTGCCCAACTCCACAAATCTGTATTGTCTCTGACCTACCTGCCCAGCTGAGGTGTCCCAATTGAAGCAAAGTTCCTGCAGAATAATTCTTTAGGTCTTAGAAGTACACAACGACCTGATCCCTATGATGTGGTAATCCGTAACTGAAAATAATAAAAAGGAAAATTAAGATATTCTTTATAGAAGATTGAACAACCAACATAACATCTATTTTAAAGGATGGTGGTTTTGCATTTGAAACTAATTTGAGCCTAATCCGTAAAACAACAGTAAAGTGAAACTGTACTCTAATGAGTGTCTAATTTGGGTGTCCTCCTCTGACAGCATTGAAGAATTTTTAGAGTTTTTTCATGAAATGCTGTAATAATAATAAAATGACAGGTCCTGTCATGCTAATCAATAATCTGTGATCATATAAACTAAGATCAGTTTGGGTTCTATATGTTTACCTGAATACATTTACTAATGTCCACTTAGTAGAATAAATCAGTCAGCTTAGCTTCTGAGCACTGTGATTTTTTTTAATAGGTTGCTTTATTGCTCATCATACAGATATGATGGATTTCAGTGCCACCTACAGATGTTTTAAAATCCAATATCCCTTTACTCACACCTGACGCTGATTCCCTTCTCTCCTGTACAGTTAGAGGTGAAATGCAATTTTTAAGGTGCTGCTTTGAAAATAACGTCTGGCGTGCATCTTTTTCTTTCTGTGTTCATGTTCTTCTTGATGGGAATCCTATGTTAAGTTTTTATGAATTATTTAAAAAGCATTTGTTTAATTCAGTATTTTTCTAACCTTTCATATGGTTTTATAGTTTGGTTAAGATCCTGTTTAAAAAAATCTTTACATTTTGGCAACAATATTGTTCTACCTCATTAAAGGATAGAAGAAGCTGAATTAAATCTAGTGAAAAAAATAATTTTCAACATGTTTGGTTTGTCCTCACTTTTGTAGGATAGAGGTTTTCAGAGTATACAGTCATTTTCTTCTGCAAACTGTGCTTCTGAAGCTTCTCTACATCCAAGAGCTGCTGCCAACCCACAACCAGATCTGAGCAGAACAACTTTTCTATATAAAGGAATAGTACACCCAAAACATGATTAGCCTGTACACCCAAAACATGATTAGATTAGTCATTTAGAATGTTTTTAGAGCATAAACAGTAGTGTATAGGATTTCCTGAAAGCGCGCACATGCGCGTTCACGACGCTACGGAAGCCGGCAGACCAAACCAGATGAAAGTACGCATTCAGCGTCTGCTCTGCCAATAATGCAAGCGTAGAAGAAGAAATGTGCTGTTTACCTGTGCAAAGAAAGAAACAACGAAAGAAAAATGTCTGAGGACTTCAGCAGTAAGAGCATGAGTTCTTTGCCGAGCTGAATGCGCTGGTTTGGTCTGCCGGCTTCCGTAGCGTCGTGATCGCGCATGTGCGCGCTTTCAGGAAATCCTATACACTACTGTTTATGCTCTAAAAACATTCTAAATGACTTCGTTTCGAGTAAATTCTGGATGCTACCCACTCAGGACACTTGGAATACATTGGACGAGCAGTATGGAGGAATATTGACACGTTTTTTGTGGACTTTTATGGACCTTTGTTCCTCGGGCACCATAGACCTCCATTATTTGAATGTCAGCAGACAGCAAGAAGCCTCCC